CTGAATAGGTAAAAAAAAAAAAAAAGTCTGCCCTGGTGTTCAGAAAACCACAGGAGTCTTGGATCATCTTGCATCCATGAGAATTACTAAGTCTGCTGGTTTTATTGGCTATGGATTCTATAAATACTCGTTTTCTTAAGTCTCACTGTTACCGTGAGCTAAGAACTGCCATCCTGTTAAATCAAAACTTCCTGCCTCCCCTTCAGATCTCTAACAAGCTCATACAGCCAGATTTGTATCCTAGCTATTTTTCCACTTAATTGAAAGTTGGCCAACAGTTGTACACATTGGATTAGTCTCTGAATCTCACCTGCTGCTTTATTTTCATCACAAATTTGGCTTGCGTTTATTTTCCTTTTCCATCACAAAAAGGCAATTGTTCTATTTTATTTCTGTTGCATTCTTTTTACCTTGAGTCTCTTATGCTTAACATTAGGAAAAAATGAATCCTCTCTCATTTTGCTCTGAACTGTGAAACCAGCTAGACTCAACAGTGTGTGTCTATAATCCCTTTCAGCACTATCCACTATGATCTTTGCCTGGCACACACAACTGGGGGCCTCTTCTGTATAAAATTGTAGGTGACAATGACTTTGTTAATTTAATAGTTCACTCTTTTTCTCTGTTCTGCAAACATGACTAAGCATGAATATTCTGTCTTGGCATGCTTGCCCTATTGAGGGAACACAGTGCTAAGATTAGAAAGTAATAGAAATCTTTGTGCTTTTGAGATATAGACAAACGATAGTCTGAATTTACAACCCTGTTCTGAAGGCTTTCATTCAAGATTTTGTCTGACACCACTAATGTTTGTAAAGTTCATATAAGATTTCCCCCCTGTATTGTTTAATTCAGGAGGTGTATATACTTTTACTGATTACATTGCAATTATTTTTAGCTGAAGTATAGGAAATTAAATTTCAGGACTCAGAAAATATTTGTTTTCCAGCTCTAAGGTTTTTTCCCCCCTTAATGAGATGGTAAATTTCAAGTAATTCATTTTATAGTTGTTGGAGAAAGGGAGAGTGATTTATATGAGGAAGGAAAAAGGGAAGACTTTTAAGGAATAATGCAGAGTGAATTAGATGCACAGCTTCCATTGTTATCAATAGGAGCTGCATGTCTAATCTACCAAGCACAGTACTGAAGAAAATGTACCCTAGGATGTCAGGTGTTAAGGAAAGAATGGGCCTCTCATGTTCTTTGCACTTACAAGCCTGCAGTAACCTTTTGACACCCTCTCTCTCTCTCTTCTTGAATTTTGTTTCCTGAAAGGAAAATGGGGTGGGGGAAGGAGGTGAAAGAAGCCTTATAGTGCTAGAAGGCCTGTTTCAAAGTACTGTAGTTCAGCTGTAAGCTTCCCTTTTTTGACTGAAATTAATATTCATTTCCTTTTTACAGGAGCTTCCTTCTCTAATATGAAGTAATTAATTTAGGAATTAGGATGTTAGTATCCTACTGATGACAACAGCTGAGAAACTATGATCATATTCCATATTAATTGCTTATTGCAGCTTTTTTGTCTTACTGAAGAGGTACATTTCTTGTGGGTGAAGAGGGGAGGGAGAGCCTGATCTTTTGGAATTGGGTCTCAGTGTTGTTGCCTTGTTTTCACTTAATTCTGGGGCTATTTAAATTATTATACAAGCAAACCATCCCAGAATGCTTTACCAACCAGGCTCATGTTCTCTGTCGGTTGTATAGCAAGGAGCAAAAAACATTGAACTGAGACCATGGAAGGAGAAAGTGACCAAGCTATATTATTATATAAAAACTGTCCTCCTCTTTGCTGTAACACATATGGGGATGTTTCAGTGGAGGGAGGGAGAAATATGGAGAGAAATATTCTCTGCATAACAATTTACCTCTCACTGGAAGAGCTTGCGTGACAATTGCATTGAGTAAAAGTAGAAGTCATAGTATTGATGGTTAATTTAAGATAGGCTTCCAGCTTTGGTATTTTGGGAAAGCAGGGGAGGATATCATTTTACATTGTCTACAGAATGTCAGTATATCACCCATCAATGCCACACAGCCATTTGTGCAATAATGTATGGCATCTATTTATCCTTAAACACCTTAAGACAAGAATTAAGGGAATTATTTTTAGTGATATCTTTTATTCAATCAGCTGTATATTTGGGAAAAATGTTAGACAAGCTTTTGGGCACAGAGTGTCCTTTTCATGTCACCTCGGCTGGAATGCTAAAACGAACTCTTTCCTTAAGTCAATATTTGGTTCTGTCCATTTCAGTGATGTTGGCTCATGGGAGAGAGACCAAACCCTTGCAAAATTCCAGGGAAATGATACAATCCTGGCCACCATCTTGTATTTACTCTTTGAAATACTAAAGCCTCATTGCTGCTATATAGTTTTCTGTGTCATAGATTGTATTGAAATAATTCATGCTGCCTTTGCTTGGCTGAAATGTGGCAGTAATGGAGAAGAGCCAGTGGAGAGGTAACCTTAGAGCCAGCAATCAGGAAAAGGAAGAGCTATCAGCCTGAGGAATCAGTGGTGCCAAGAGAAGCTATTATTCTAAGTATTATTTCCAATGTGCAGGCATTGTTTTAAGTCACATTAAAAACTTCCTTTAAATGTCTTGTTGGTTGTGTGGTAAATTTTCTACATTCATCTTGCCAAAAGAAAGCCGTGCACTACTACAATGTTCTTCCAAATGGGGTGCTAGGGCATATCTTGGTTTAGAATTTGTAGTTTAAAGGGAAAAACTGAGATAAAAGGCAAATACTTACACTCAAGATGCCTGGAAAATCACAGGTAGGAGAAGTTGCAGTGACTTCTTCATTCCTTAAAATCTGCTGGGAACTATTGTCAGGAAACCCTGGACTCTACCCAACTGGGATTTCTGTTTGCTGAAAAAAGTTAGATTTGAAATACAAGACCCTTAAGCATTTACCTTGTGAACCAAGCACTCTATTATGGAAGCTGTCTGGCATGTGAGGAACTCCAGTTTTTGTGGGTAGTCTCACTGAAATCGGTGGAAGGAATAGTAATGTGCAAAAATACTGACGTGCATGATTTCACATTCCTCTCCTAGAGGATCTGTGTCTGTGCTTAACCCCAACAGTAGAACTGGTCTGAATTGAGAGGTGATTCATCTACTGTGTGCACTTTCTCTCTTTTTGTATTCACCAAGAAATCCTGTGATGTGTAGCAGTGTATGCTGTAGGCACAGTCTTGCTATAATATTAATTCTGCAGCTTGGTGCATCCACTGTTGTGTAGAAGGGCCCCATAGTTTAAATTATTTTCTGTCTCTAAAACCTTCCTAAAACCTGTGAGTGAATAAGTAAGGTGCCTAGCCATACTGACCTACCATATAACACAGAACTGGGGACTGATGTACAAATAAATTAAAATACTGCCCTAAAAATCAAACAGGAAATCTGTGGCAGAGGAAGGAACTGAAAATCGATATCTTAAATCCTAGTCAAGTATCTTAATTTTAAACATCTCAAACTTTTCATTTTCACTACCAGGGCCTTCCCAGGATTTAAATCAGATTGCATTGAATATATGCCGACAATATAATGGTCCATGCACAAGATAAGCACCTCAATACATTTACACTCCGGGGCCCTGATCCTTAGGACAGATCCATGGGTATGAATCTCTGAAGTTATTTGAAACCACACTGATAATTTAGAGAGTTCAGTTGGGATTTTTAGTGATGAACAATCTGTGTGCAAGCCATCTACATGGGACTGAGTTTCATGGCTTATCTTTACTTTCTCACTTTGTGTGCGTTTTCCTTGCTGTTGGTCTTTAGAGTTCAGTATGGCTTAGTTAGCTTCCCTCAAACCTTATGTGAGCCTTGACTTGCAGCACTTGTAAGAGATTCTTTGCGATGTGCCCTGAGATTAAAGTGCATCACCCCTGCAGTGCATTGATCTTGTCTGGCCCAGAAAGGGGGAGTCATGGATCTGCTTTTGAAATCAGGACTCCCTCATGGCTTTTCCAGGGTATCATCTCCATGTCATTGGGTTGGCAGGATATGAAGCTGAAGCGCTTTTTGAAGTTTTCTTTCACACCAAGGGGCGTATTTTTGATGTGTGGGAATTGGTGTAAATTACGCCCTCTTCTCACCGCGTATTAAGTCCAGGGGGCTGTATCACCTCATTTAAATGTTTGAGGGCTTTATGACTTCAGTTGTTCTATTTGTTATGGTGAAATATTAAGATGAACCGTGGGGTTTGAACAATCTAAACTCATTTGCTGCAGAGAATTTGGAATACTTACGATGAATTTTGTGCTCTGAATAAGCTTCCTGTCTTGTCACAGTAGAGCCAGTATAGTTACATTTTAGCAAATAAAGCCATGTGCTCCATCAGACTGCATTTCTTTTTCCAAACACCATTTGAAAAAGCCAATGTTATTTCAATATCCCAAAAGCCTGCCCCTCATGGAACAAGAGAGACAGAAGAGAGAATATGTGTGTGTGTGTGTGTGTGTGTGTGTGTGTGTGTGTATACATACATACATATATGTGTGTGTGTGTATGTGTGTACACACATACACACACACACATATATATGGGTATATATATATATGAAATATTTATAGGAAAAAAAAGTTATAAGCATCCCATGACTTATTACTGGAAAAAGCAGTGTAATAGTTCTTTGGTCAAATATTGTGCTTCCTGAAAAAATTGTGGTATTGGAAAAATATTTTCTAGCTTTCAGTGTTTATTTGATGTTTGAACACTTTTGGTTATGTAAGTTTTAGCAAGTAGCTTTGGTACCCCTAAAGGCACACCCCACACACTTATGTTGCGTGACCTAAGGTCACAAGTAATGGCTGCAAGCTAATTGATTGAGAAAGGCTTGTCTGACTGGGCCTCTTTGAGTCCTCCCTTTACATTCCTAAATTCTGTGAAGGAGGCACTGGCAGCTTAGCCTAGCGAGAGGAGGGGTTGGGGGAATGGGAGGAAGTTTCTCAGAGTTCTGATTATGCGCAGAGTTTCCTTGTACTGAGCTTAGTCTTCTCCACCCACTACTTAGTAAGAACTCCTTAACTAGAAGACTAACAACTTAAAGCTTTATCCCTGTGAGTACCAGAAAAGTGATCTGAGTATTTATTGAACAGAGAAAGCAAATTGCCTACTTGAGGCAGGGAGAAAGCTTATGGAAAATTATTAGGACTCCAGCAAAGTGCACAGCTGCATAGGACAGAATCTGAGACTCAAACTGACAGGCAAATAAGCCAGATCACTGGAGGGGCCTCTGTGTGGCAGCTCTGAGCTACTAAGTGTTGGACAACTATAGACAAAACGTGAAATGGAACAGGGCAGAAAATAATACACTAACTTCAGGCAACTGTTGCTTTTCTATGGTGAGTCAGATTTGTAATATTGCTTTAAGTGTGCTTATTGCTGTTGGTTTTTTTTTTTTTTTTTTAAATCCTCCTGTTTTAACAAAGCAGTCCATTTTGGAAACTCGTCGTGTTTCAGGTTATTTTTCCTGAGGCGCGTTTTAATTCCGAACGATACAATGTTGTAGAGGGATGGCCCTGTCCTTGCCCCTTGTACATGTGTTCTTTGTGTCTGTTTTAGGAGGTGTGTCGCTGTTTTAAAATCATATTGCTTTGCTGCTGTTTTGCCGTAAAACTGCTGTGTAAGCAGGATCAGGTGTGCAGCGACATATGGGTGAATAAGTGAATGCAACAATTTACATGAATAGTTTGTATAGTCTGAGCTCCATGGCACCTCTTCACTACTCCTTATTTTGCCGCCTTATCTTGAGAATGTATGGCACGGTCACTATGAAAAGAGCTTTGTGTTTGAATTCCTGGTGAGTCGAAGGGTCAGGGCCTGTGAGTTATCTGCCTGCCAGCAAGACTCATTGCTGTGCCCTTTATTTTTCGAACTAAAAGAGAAAAACATGTGTCCTCGTCTTTTTTTAAATAAATGTGTTTTGAATTCAGGTTTTACATGCTCTTTGTGTGTGCTTTGTTCTTTTGACAAAATCATATTTTTGGGAAAATCCAGCTTTTTTTTTGGTCTGTATTTATTTTATTTACTTGAGCTTTGTTGTAGCTTTTTGCATTCCTTTGTTGTGATGCACATAACTTTATCTTGAGGCAACGTTCAGTAATTCTGATTTCTGTTTAGATATGAAGGATTTGTGTTTGTATACATATTTATGAAAATATTAGAAAGATTGAGATATTTTGATTTTATGCAAGGAACAAAATCATATCAAGGACCAGGCTTAGTAGTTTTATTTTAAGGAGCATGCAGGTTTCTTTTGCAATGTTATTGAAGAGGCTTTGTTTTAAATATTTCTAAGAAAATTATTCAGTATAATGGTCATAAAACCAATGTAAGCTGTACTGTTATTTCAAGGGGAAAAAGTTTTATTCAAAAGGTAACAGTATTAACAAGTTGACAGTACCATCAGAAATGTTTTTAAAAACTGCTGAGTTGATGAAATTTAGACTAATTAATCATCAGTGCATGTCAAAGTTACTCAACATACTCTGTTCATTTAAAATGCTTGCTATTTAACAAACTAGCCTGTCTGCTTTCTCTATTCCAGCATGAATACAATCGGGTACCACATGGAATCCAATATCCTTTCTTTAAAAATTTTTGTGCTTTGTTTTCAAAAAGTGAATAACTGAATTTGGACTGAAGTACTTGAGAAGTTTTGGAACAATTTATGTTCAGTTAAAGGAACATATTTCCTTTAGCTGGATGATCTTACAAAATATAACAGAATTGCTTTTACATAAAAGGCAGTCTTGATACTTATTTATAAACTTTTATTTTGAGATAATAAACTCAACTTGGGAAAGAAAATATAGTATGTAAGAGAGTACCTATTTTTGAAGTTGGTGTTTCAGATGTATGTCAAAAGTGTTTGCTAGAGATGCAAACTCTTGAACAAGTCCTTCCAAACAAACAAGTTCACTGTCACTTACCTATTATACTCTGTTTCTGCCAAACTAAAGTTCTCCCTCCTGCCCATCCATTGTGATAGTGTAAATTCTGCCTCAGATGCTGTGGAGAAATTAACATGACTCCAGAAATGCATGGGGACTGGAAAGTGTGTTGAAATGGCAAGTTCACATTTTGAGCAGATGCCACATGCCACGTTCTTATTGCAAACTGGATTCCCGTCTTTTTTTTTTCTTTTTCTTTTTCTTTTCCTTCCCTTTTTTTTTGGAGAAGTTTTACACTGTCTGAGGAGGATAGTCATTCTGAGCTGGGTCCTTAAACAGTTAAACATTTTTTTTTCTTTTTTTTTAAAGTTCTATAGCAAGTTTCCATAAAGGGGGGAAGGTACCCTTCGGCTAAGGACAGAAATTACACATAAACCAGTATAAATGATTGGAAACGGGTTCAAATCTGTAACACAACAGAAGTTCAGTGCATATAAACCACTTTCAAAATGACTGAAACTGGTTTAAGATAAACCTGGATGGATGTGGTTAAATCAGTTTATTGAACTTCTGTTCCAGATCCCTTCTAGAGTCAAGCGGTCTGCTCTAGCACATGGCTGCATTTCTGGAATCAAAAGTGAATATCTGTTCACTTGCTTATCAGTTCAATCTATGCAGCTTAGACTAACCTGCAAAGACTGAATCAATTCAGCCTCAGGGTTTTTGACTGTTTGTACTTAGCCTTATAGTATAAGTAGATTACTTTTCCTGGACTGTGGGAAGATGGGGGTGAATATATTTTGAAATGCTTTTCCTATCCCAAAAATCTCAAGGAAAATAGTTTGGGTGAATACAGATTTATCTCCCCCAAAACCTTTTGCAGTCCCTTAGAGAAGAGTGTGCCTTCTGGGGAGGAACAATAGGACTGGGGAGAGAAGTAATAGTTTCTATTGCCATCTCTGACAATAACCTCCTGTATGACTTCAAGCAAGTCACCTAACCTCTTGGTGCCTTGATTTTTTCCCATTGGTAACATAGGGATACTTTCTTGCAGGCTGGTAATGCGGCATAATTAAATTTTATAAAAACATTTTTTCCTGATGCAAAGCAACCAAGATGAGCAAAATTCTGATTATTAATAATAATTTCCCAATCTTTGAATGCATCAAAAGATCATCATCTCACAACAGGTGTAAGTACTTTGATTATGTTTGTGTTAGTGATACAGGTGATCAAGAAGAATTATGATTGCTTTCCTACCAACCAAAACAAAGCTACAGTTCACATGGAAGCTACAAGCCAGGCCAAGGTGACAAATGCCATATATATTTAATATATGCATTTGCACATAGAAGAAAGCCACCTCCTATCACAAAATGAAAAGTTTTTGTTGGTTCATTTAATTCAAGTAGACACTAGAAGAGAGGCGGTTTTAAAAAACTTCAAAGAAAAATTACATTACTTTTAGATGTTTTGTTCCTTTGGAAGGTTTATATATACTATACCCAGGGGCTAGGGACAGACATTACACATAAATAGGTTTAAAGTGATCAGAAACTGGTTTAAACCTGTAACAGAACAGATGTTCAGTGCACATAAACTAGAACATACACGTGAAAATGGCTGAAATTGGCTTGAGATAAATCTGGTTGAATGTAGTATCAGACTTAGCTAATTTGGGTCAAACCAGTTTATACAATGTCTGTCTCAGTCCCTTGTTGGTTTAAGAGATATCAGACTCCCCCAGTATCCCGGCATGCTCTCTGGGCTGGGCTGGGTTCTCTGCTCTACAACAGGGCTAGCCCCTCCCCTCTGCTCCCTAGCTGCAGCTCTGGCAGGAAAAGTAGACTGCTCAAGCCCTCCCTCTCACCACTCCCTGATAAGCAGGAATTCCCCCCTCCTCTCTGCCTTGTGGAGAGGTGTCTGTGTATAAGTTAGCATACCACATGCTGGCTACAGTCCCTGCTGAATCAACAGGTAGAATCAACAGAGAGCTGGTAATATTTGCTCTGTTGTTTTCTTAATGGAGTGATAAACACTGTCATCTATTCCCTGCTGAACTAATCAGTGTGTCCTGCCAAAGGCTGGCCATGCCACCCCTCAGGTCAGTAGTGTGCAAGGGAAGGGAGGGCTGCTCTAGCACTGCCCCCCCTCCCAGCTTCTAGCCTGGGAAATGCCTGCATGTGCCTGCATTTCTGGTATGTCGTTCAGTTACAAACCTGTTTAGTCTAGCCAGGTTAGACTAACTTGCAAAGACTGGATCAGTTCAGGCTCAGGCTTTTTGAATGTCTGTCCCTAGCCAGGGTGGCTGCATAGGAAGGGGAAGAGAGGAGATTTTAGTATGAACTAGAGATGCACTGTTCCTTTTAACCGTCCTTTCAATCTGTTCTGTTTGAGGAAAGTAGGGTGGAAGAGAACCTAGAAAAACCTTATGTTAAGACATATTTTTTTTCCTTTTCAATAACAGTTTCACACTTGATTTTCAGAGAGAAATCTGGGAGGTACCTGGAATAGTTATAAGATGAGTCAGTAGGACTCACTTGTGCTTAAGGAAGCATGTCTTCAAGGGTAGAAAGAGAGCTTTGTATTAAAGATGAACACATTTGCAGACCTCCTGTGACTGAAAGATGCAGCATGTTATGCAGGTACAGGAGAAAATTATTGCATCTGAAATATAGGGTGAGTTACAGTATTACTAAATGTCCAGAAATTATTATTCAAATTCTAAGAAGTTGAGGGAGATATAATGATATTGAAAAAATAAAAACAGGTTTTTTTAATATGCTTTATTGTTGCAGTGGCTACATTTTCAAGTTTTCTCTCCAATTATCATGGTCAAGACATATTTTTCAAATAATCGTATGACTCCAGGAGCTGAGCTTCAAGAAAGGCACCAGAATCATAAGCCTCAGAAGAAACTCCAGTTGTCAGCACTGGTGTTGAGTAAATAGTTGTATCATCTGGAGACCAGACCAGACTTAGAGCAGAGGATTTATGCACCATTGGTATATGTTTCTCTGGACTCAGATCATTACTACACAATCCCAGTTTGTGGCCAGTCATTTTAGCTATAGGGATTTCTCTCCTTAAAGCATTTGGCCCAACCAAGTTACTTAGTGCTGCTCCAAGGAATGCTCAATTGTCAGGAAGACCTCCCTCCTGACTAGCCCTGTTCTGCAAGCAGAGAAGGGGTCAAACTAAAGCAGATGCAGAGAGAGAAGAGGAGACCAGAGCTGTCTAGAAGTCTTCCTACATTACAGGTTTGATTGTGGGATTTAAGGTGGTGCTGCCCCACTTAAAATTGTATGTGGAGATAGGATTTTGAATAAAAATGGGCAGAGCCTGGACAGGAACAAGTATGAAATACTGCAACAGATCATGGTTTTGTTTGGGAAGAAGACAGGGTAATTATAGCAGAGTATATATAGATGACTAACTTTTGGCTAAGT